GCCTGTCTGTCCCCTGCCCCAGAGCAGCAGAACCTGCTGCATTAGGTCGATTTCAAGAGCCCCTCCAGGTCAGTTAGCAATTACCTGCACCAGATACGTGCTTGGAAAGGAGCTTCTGATCTCTTCAATGCACTCGTTTTCCTTTTTCAATTTCAAATTCGCCTCACTGGAAATAGGCACTTCAGCCTCTTTTACAGACCATGGCAAATTGGGATTTCGTCCAGTTCTGTTGGTTTTGCTGATACAGATGTTTTTCCCTACAGAGGCAATGCCATGGCCAGTCTGAGGTATGTCCAGAGTCCCTCCATTCAGACTCTTCCCGCTGAGCCTGCAGGTGATGTCAGAGTACACAGACCACTGGCCCTCAGGCATGCTGAGGAGCCTCTCTCCCAGTGCCAGAGCTCCTGGTGCCCTGTGCTGTTGGGACGTGGCCAGTGAACAAAGACACCGATTCTCTTAACAAGTCAGCTGCAGCACACGTTTCTCATCTGCACACTCCAGTCCAGTCTTGGAAGGAAAAGGACTGGATAGGAGGAAAGTCAGTGTCTTTGCATCTGTCCTTATCCTTGTGCTGAAACCTGACTGCCAACAACGTGTCACAAAGAGGTTTTCTACAGTGACATACTTCATGTTGGGCTCTTCCAGTGTGGCACTGTCACACTGGGAGAATTCTCCAGCTGGTTTGTCCTGTGGCTCAGCTGAGGAAGACGCGTTCTCCTGCTAGTGCCCAAGGACACGTTCCCAAGGGATGGAGGCACGCTGCAATCTCGCCGCTGGCGCATCGCGGCAGTCTCTGGGGCTTGTGCAGAGCCCTCCCAGCACTGCCCTCCATAGTCAGCAGCAGCCAGGGCCAGCTGCCTGCACACAGGCCACAGGCTGCTGGGGAAGCGGTCTGGCAGTTTGCTTCAGCCTCTTCTGGGGGCTCCTGGGGCCTGATGTGGTCGCACAAGGCACTATCCCAAACCAGTGGTTCAGTGCTCAGAGGCAGAAGCAATTTTACATAAAGTTCAATTAAATATTTGCTTTATAATTGCACAACAAATTATTCATAAAGGCATTGGAATCTAATCACAAGGCTGACACTGTGGAGTCTGCAAATGACACAGTACTTGGGGAGAATAAAGATAGGAGTAGCTGCCAGGCTCTGGTGACAGGCAGTGCCAAGACGTGTGGGACAGTGGGAATGCTCCCGGGAAAAGACTCGAAGCAGCACCAAAGAGCCTCAGCAAGGCAGGGCCGTTTGGCTGTCAGGAGTAAGTGGAGTAGCATGTGAGAAATGGCTCTGGGCAATGGATTGGGGGTTTTGGCTCCTGTGTGCCCAGCAAACAGGGGGCAGCACTGGGTTCCGCCCCCCCCAGCCACGCCATCAGCTCCAGCTTCCTGGGGACGTGCTCTGCGGTGTGTTAAGGAGTGTCCCCAGCTTTGCAGGACCTGTGAGCACAGAATTTCTGCCTTCAGCTCTTGCCCATATCTCCAGCAGAAGTCACAGTGTTGGGCCTTTTAGGGGGTGCAGAGGGCTCTCCCTAGCTGCGGGGTATGAAGAAAGTTGTGTGGTGCAACCAGGCCGTGGGGTCCATCTTTCTAGACCTGTGCCAGAGCAGCATCCAGGAAAAGGCAGGAGGAAGCCTGGGCACATAACGTGTAACTTGCAGTCCCCAGAAGATAGGCAGTGTGAGGCGAGGATGAGCAGCTTGCAAGAGGTGGCTGCTAAGCACAGCTGGAGCAAATTTTACCACCCAGGGACCCTCTGCAGGGAGTTTGGCAGGGGGACTTGCTTCCATGCAGCCTTCATGGCATCCTGCGCTGCAGCTCTGGGAGCAAAGCCCTGACACCCAGCGTTCAGCTCCTTTCAGGGGGAGCTTGGAGGGCAGCTGACTGAGTCTTGCACCCCATGAAGAGCAAGACTGGTGGGACTGAGGTGTGTGAATCCCTGTTCTGCTGAGCTGAGGTGGGCTGAGGTCAGAGGGTGAAAACAGATCTGCTGGGCAGGTGCTGAGCCCAGCTGTCCCTGCAGTCAGACACCGCTTTGCCTAGCCAGCAGCCATCCACCCCAGATCTTGTCCCCTGCCGTCATCCTGGGCAGGGGGCTGCAGACTGCCCCTGTCCCGCGGGGAGGAGCCCTGCAGGACGCCTGGCGCTAGGCAGGCTCTGACTGACAGGAGCTGGATCCTGGACAGAGAGCTGGACTGGAGATGGATTGCCTGCCAGGCAAATGTGGACGTTAGACAGGGAGTTAGATTAATGGGAGCTGGCTCTGCCAACAGAGAGGTGAGTCACAGAGCTTGTCCTGTGCTGAATCTGTTTCTCCAATAGGGAAGAAGGAGGAGGATTTAGCGAGATTAATCTCTCATAGAGTTGTGAGCATGGCCAGGATTCATGGGCTTCTCAGCAGCAGATTTCCAAGTAAGCAGACAGCACTTTGACTTGCTCCATGTGACAGCACAGAGCTGTACTGGTAGCTCTGGAATTCCCTGCCCCTGGTCACAGGTAAGATCGACCATACTTCCGTGCTCACATGTGAGCCCTGCAAAGCACAGGCTGCACAGAAGCACAAGGAAAGCAGTGGCTTGAAAGCATCTTCCCCAAATTTTCCAGAAGTCACCATCTGCAGCTGCTCTACCCCGAACAATGCTGGACCCTGCACAGAACACATGAGAAAGTGGTCAGAAAGAACTGGCAGCTGAGAGGGGCTGGTGACACATCAGCTGGGAGAGTCTGCCAGGTCTCTGCCATCTTTGCGTGAAGGAGGAAGAGGGAGCAGGACTGGACAAGAGCCAGAGCATCTTTCCTGGCGTGACCAACTTGTCCCTCTGGCTAGCAGTTTGTGATACAGCAGGAATGACAGACCTGGCGGGAGCTGCTAGCAAGAGGGAGGGAGAGCAGGTCGGTCACGGCTACTTTTTGGCAGGAGGTGATGGGGAGCTCCTGGGCACCACTGTGTCTGCCCCTCCCAGCACTGAACTTCCCAGGCAGGAGGATGAGGCCAGGAAGAGGAAATCTTGGTAAACATTTTTTTATGTTGTGTTTACAGGAACTGTGGAGAGAGAACCTCAGTGCTAGAGAACCAGGGAGATTTTTCATGGAGAAGGCAAATTTCCATCCCATGTTGGGAGTGCTGTTTCTTTCTGCTATTTCTTTAGTTCCTGTCATGGCTCTTCAGTCTGAGCAGTTTTACAAATGTGTTGTGGAGATGAAAGCGCCAGGGAAAGCTGCTCAGGATCAAGTTGGAAAAGGTTTTAACTTTCAACTCCTTACAGACAAAGGCACACAAGGGGGGGGGGTAGTGAAAATACTGGGAAAAGGAAGAGGAAGGAGCAAAAAGAGATAAGGAGAATAGATGAGTGAAAGGGACAGAGCAGAGAAGACAAATCACAACAAGAAAAGGAACAAGTCACTAGCAGAAAGAAAGGAAGAGATAGGGAGAGAACAAAGCAAAAGGGCCTGGAGCTCAATGAGATGGGGAGAGTATATCAGAATAAGGGAAGAGTGCTGCAGGTAGGGGAGAGCCAAGACATACAAAAGAGCTATTTGAATGCAGGGATAAAGCAATGATGGGAATAAGAGGAAAGGAGAAACCAGATGAGGACTAAATTCCCATGGAGATAAAGGGGATGGCTTCAAAGTCAAAGGATAACCCATCCATCCTTATGCCACTGAGAATACAAGACATGACATGAAAGCGACATGTCGACTTTTGAGGCAGGCTGTGGGATGGGGCTGTGGTGGCTGCACTCAGCGTTCGCACGCGTGGGGAGCCCCGCTCACAAAGGCAGTGATCATGTCACGGGTGGTCCTTGTTCTCCTGCTTTGCATCCTCCGTCATCCCTTCCCTGCAGCGCGTGGGGCGGCTCCTGGCCCAGTGTGACCCGGGCACTGCTGATTTCAGGTTTCCTGGAAGGACTGTCACAATGTGCTGTGTTACAGGGCTCTGGCTGGCTTTTCCAGCACCCTGCCCGGCAGCAAGAGGGCACAGAACCATAGAATCATAGAACAGGTTGGGTTTGAAAGGGGCCTTTAAAGGTCATCTCATCCAAACCCCTGCAATGAGCAGGGACACCTGCAACTAGATCGGGCATGGAGCAGCTGTGACACGGTGTGATGGCAAGAGAGACAAAGCTTCCCTGGCTCCAGGGTAAGGGGGTCTTAGCAAAAACAGGTTGGAAAAGGGCACCACAACGACAGTGCTGGAACCGTCTCCACCCAGTGTCACAACAGCTCGTTGGATGCTTTCTGCCAGGAGGGCTCAGCTCCATCTGTGATGCCACTGCAGTGTGAGAGGAGCCTCTTGGCTGTCCCAGGGAAGGATCTGGGTGTTCCCGGAGCCTGTGTCAGTGTTGGCACAAGAGCTTAGCAGCTGTCCTAGGGCCAGACTGGCACTGAGCGAGGTCTCTGCAGGCAGTGTTAGCGGTGGAGCAGCTGTGTTCCATCCAGGCTTTGCTCCGTTCCCTACAAGAGCATCGGGCACGAGTGGGATCTACTTTGGCAGCAGTGCTCGCAGCTGGGAGGTTTCTCCCTCTCGCACTGGGACTAAGCACGTTTCTAGGTGCTTCCATGTCTGAAGGGGCTGGTATGGAGCATTTTCTAGGTCTTCTTCAGGGCCCTGTTGGCCTTTGAGGGTGGAGGCATGCAACAGTATAATGGGAAGCCTTGTGCCAGCCACTCAAAGGTGGGGATGGCAGCTGCCTGAGCCTGCTGCTGGACCTGTGCCCTGCTCGGCTCTTGGTCCTGGGAAGCAGGAGTCACTCCTCCTGGACTCACGCTGTGGTTATAAACCCCTCTTGTTTTCAATCCACCTCTCCCTGACCTGCAGTCACCCGCCCTGCAGGAAGCATCAGACCCAGGTAGTTTTGTGGATAACCTGCTGCTGGGTTACCGCTGTTTCTTGGCCCGTGTGTGCCAAGCAGAGGATTTGTTTGCCTTGAGCAGGGCGCCGTGCACATGGAGCAACAGAGCATCCTCTTCTCTGGTGTTTGCTCACCTTCCCTCCAGGGCCAGACTCGGAGGCCCAATACCAGGGAACGCCGTGGAAGCAAGAGAGCATTTTCCTCAGGTAAGATGTGAGGCCCTGGGCGGTGGGGACTGGGAAATGTCCCACTGGGGGCTGTTTGCCCGCGTTCTGGCTAAACCCTGACGTGTGATCAGATTCATCTGCCCCATCTGCAGCCTCGGCTTTCTCCCTGCGCCGCCTCCTGGCTGTCCCGCTCTGCCCGCGGTGCTCGGGGCGCTCCGCTGTGGATCCAGCTGGCCTCGGCCCGGCACCGGGGCCCCCGCAGGCTCTGGAGGAGGCACCCGGGGCCGGGTGCTGGGGGGGCCCGGGCTGCCGGGGGAACAGCTGAAGCTGCAGTCTCTGTAATTGTAGATCTTGTGCCCAGCCCAGAGCGAGCCCAGGCTTTGCCAGGTTTTTGCTTATGAGACTGGTGGATGCTCTCCGCCTCTTTCATGAGCACGGGGTAAGGCGTATTTGCAGCAAACAATTATCAGGGTTGGAGATCGTGATCCTGCTAAATCAGTTTTCAAATGCTGAAAATAAATTGCTTCTCTGGCTTTGGGTGTCACATAGCAGGGGGAAATGGAAACGAGAATCGGAAACGGTTTTGCTGTACTGATACTGTGTTTGTTTGTGTCCAAGGCCAAAGGGTGGTTCTGCTGGTCATTGATGAAATCCCTTGAAATGTTGACAGTACCCGGAGTGTAGCACTGAAATCTGAATAAGCTAGCCCAGATTCTGTACTGACTTACGTATCACGTACATATCTCTATTCTAGTGAGGTGGGGGTCAGAGCAAGTGAGGCTTGGTCTCTGTATGAAATGCTGGTTGCTGAATAAATACCATGTTGAAACTGGAGGGCTTGTGAAAGAAAAAGTATGTGCCATTTCATAGGTGAAAAGAGCCAGCTTTGTTTCTGCCTAAAAAAAAATATGCCCTTTGCTTTTTGGTGCATTGGCACTTTATAATATGATATGGTGATTTCATACCTAGGACAGCAAAGTGGCTACTGAAACAAGGTCAATTTAAAAACTCTTTTTCAAAAGAAGCTAGCAGGTCTCCAGAAAAAAAATAAAAAAAGAAAGAAAAGGCTGTCAGTGGGTTAAAAATAACAGTTAAAATGTTATTTTTCCTAGCTCTGTATCAAATAATATGATATTTTCATGATTTAAAATGCCATATCATATTTGAAAAATCCATAGTTCCTTGCTTGTGTATAAGGATTCTCAGAATAGGGTCATCATTTACTGTTTGTTGTGTATATTGTCTGATCAGCTTTTTGGGGTTCTGCACTTTGAAAATGATATTGAGCTAGCAGGATTTTTTCATAGCAAATTTGCTTTTGTGCTTCTAATCACTAGCCCACAGTAGTAAAATTTGATTGCAAATATCGTGGGGGGAATGTTTGTTTGTTTGAAGCCCCTTTTGCTACCCACAGACTTTGTTAGAAGGATTAGATGGTTCATGGAAGCTTTGAAACAAAACTGGGCTTTAGGTGGAATTTGATACGATGTTATTCCTTTAAAGTATAATGAAATATTTTCCAAATATTTTTAGATTTTGAAAGGCCATATTTGAAAAGAAAAACAAACTGAAGAAGAAATAGGGTGGTGATACTTGTGTTCTTTCTACATCATGTCACTAAACAATATTTGTACATAAGAATGCAACCATGTATGAGTTTGTGTCGTTATCTTTTAACCATGTGGTTATGCATTTGGTTTGGGTGTACAAGCAATGACACTTCTCTGAAGATGAGGCAATATGTATCCTGAGGCACGGGCCATTTTGAGTGATCTGCTTTTTTGAAAAATTACATGTAAAGATTAGGTGGGTGTGGGTCCCACCAAGATTCCTGCCCAAGGCTGTCGGTGGACATGGCGTATGGCATTCAGCGCCTTGCTGCTCCCTGAGTCTCTCTTCTCTCTACCACCGGTTTATTCCGTGGCATTTCTTTGCAGGGAAGGGTGGCCGATGGGGAGGGTGTGACCAGCTTTGCCTCGGACCATGGGCAGCCCTGCCGGCATCCTGCCCTGCACGCTTGGCAGCTGCTCTCCAGCTATCAGGGCTCCCCCGTTCCGCCAGGTCCTGGGGTGACGTCGGTGCATGGCTGTGCCCTGGGCTGCAGGTGAGAATGCAGAGCTCTGCCTCTTGGATTTGGCTGCCCTAACATCTGCAGGGCTCATGGCTGCGTGTCCCTGTGAGCCACGTTGCTTCTGAAGCACAGTCCCTGCTCCTCCCCAGCACAAAAGCTGGGTCTGTGTGGCTGGGTTTGGGCAGCAAATCGCTGCCTCTCAGCCTCCCCTGCTCCTGTGCAGACCTGGTGTGTGGGGAGCTCATTTCAGGGATTTGGACTGGGACTCACCTGTTCACCTCCATGGACTGGGTGCCCGCTACCTGCACAGCCCTGTGGAGCTTTTGTATCTGCAGTTGTATCCAGTTTGTGGGTTAGTTTCTGCTTCAGAGGGCTGGGGAGGGATCAGTGGAGGGCCGCTCTGTTCCTGCCAGTAGCCACTGCAGAGACCCATCCTCACAGTTCACAATTGCTTTTTCATTTAATCATCACTTTTTATTATTTGCAAAGTCTGTGAAAGGAATACAGCACATTACAGTAATTTTCAGTCTTATCATTTGCAACAACCTTTTTTTCAGAGACTAGTCCAGACTTTACTTTAGTCTTGCTATGTGTCTCCTTCATTTTTCTTTCTTTTCATTGCTTTTGTGCTGCAGCTGGGAGGAGGTAGTTCTCCAACCCTCTTGGGAAAGAGTTGTTGGATGGCATTTCAGTGGTGGTTCTACAGTGCAGTGTCTGGGTTGCAAAAGTGGAAGTCGTCTTCAGCAGTCTCTGCACTGCCTGGTCCCACAAGCCTGGCCGGGACGCCTGCAGAGCCTGTATGTTCTTTCTTTTCCTCTGGGTCTTCTTGGTGATGCTCTTCCTCTTGCAGTGTGGTTTGAGTTCTCCCTGCAAATGGATGTCTTCAGCTCTTTGAAGGAATTACAGCACCTTTTCTTTTTGCCTTCAAGGGCCTGTGGGATGTTGTGGGCACTGTCGTGTGGTAGCTGGCAGCGGGTGTGGAGCCCGCTGCAGCTGCAGAGCTTCCTTTGCTGGTAACGGTACCTGGCGTGCGCAAGGCACGCGGGGATGCACGACACTACTGGGAGGCGGGAGCACGAGGAGAGACTGGGCTGGTCTGGGGATGCCTGTGCCTCAGTGGCCTGGGCATGGACTTTATCTGCGAACTCTGGGTTTCAGAGCGCCCACTCTGCCGCCTCCTCGCTGAGCTGACCCAGCCTCTGCCCGTGCCCTGTGGCCTGGTCCAGCCCCTGCTCCAGCCACGGTGCGCGCTGGTACCAGCTAGGGCAGGCAGTTTTCCCCAGGGGTCCTGTGAAGCCTCTTGGAACAAAAGGTGGAGAACAGACCCTGCTAATCTGAGGCCCCTGCATTGTTCTTGAGAGGGGGGGTAGTTGTGCCCTTGGGCATAGGAAAGGCAGCCAGCCCAAAGCTGGTCCATCTCTGCTCCAGCCCTAGGGCTGGGTTTGGACTGGATCATTCACTGCTGCTAAACCTACAAGCAGTGCAGAAAATCAAGATGCTTTTCAGGAAGCCCCACCTCAGGATAGCTCACTAAACAGAAGTGAAGGTTATAAAACTCATGGCAACTTAATGACATTTTTTCACAAAAGGCAGCACTCCTCTGGATTCCCAGTCCTGCCCTGCTTCTCTTGTCTGTGGGAAACCTGCACTTGCCTCTTCTCTGCATGCTCTGCCCCATTCTGCCCCACTTTCACTCACTTCCTTGCCCCTCGCTCTGGCAGCACCATCAATGAGCCTGGAAGAATAAGCCCAACAGAGCTCATTCAGTTTTGACTCAGTGCTACACTTCCTAATTTCAGGTCTTGCGCGAGAGCTGTGCCTCAGCTCACGTGCTGCAGGACTGCGACTCTGGGCAAAGTGCCTATTAACACTCCTATCAAACTGTTGTGTGCAGGGTCTGCTCCGCAAGCAGAGCAGCGTTGCCTGTCTCACCCCCTCTGTCCCTGCTGTTCCTACACTGAATTTGGCTCTGACTGGCTGACAGTGGAAGCTGTGGGTGCAATGGACGTGGTGCTGGGCCTGATATTTGTCAGCAACAGCCTCGGATCCACAGCTGCCCTATAGAAGCATTTAGGCAGGTGTTCAGCCGAGCGGAGCTGAGAGCATCCTGCCTCTGGCTTGGGCAGCAGTGGCTCAGGGCCAGCCCTGCCCCAGGGTGGGGGTCCTGTGGTCCTGGGCTCTGGCCGCAGCAGTTGTGTGAGCCTTGCTGCTTGGGAGGTCCTTCCAGGGGATCACGAAAGCTGAACTGTTTGTCCAACACCCTCTGGCAGATACCTCCCATCCCTCTTCGTTGCTCCTCCCTCCCTGCTGTAGTGCTCCAGAGAGCACCAAGGGAAAGGAAACAGGGGATCACTCCTCTTTACCTGCCTCACTTACCACGGCCACTTCAGGTGTGTTGTTAATCTCTTCCTAATTAACTGCAGCTTGTGGCATTAACAACTGCAGGTGACCTGAAGCTTGAGACCCTCAACTCACCTGAAGCTGTTGATGGCCAGAAGCTTTCTGCAGCCAATGATGGGATGTGAAGGGAGTCGCCATAGAAACATCTTGGGCAATAAATAGAGCCTCAGAAGCTTTGAACTCCTTTAAGCAGAAGCCTATAGGTGAGTGTGGGTGCAGGAGGTAGTGTGCCTATGGATGGGGAAAGGTGTATACACCCAGCAGAGCAAGGATGTGAGACACTTGGAAACAGCAGCTGCAGGAGCAAGCACAGGATTTAAACACTGCTTTGGTAAGCTAGCATTTCCCTGAGGTTTTGATTGCAAAACTGAGTTGGAGCATGTGATAAGGTCCTGATACTGGTCTGACAGGAGAGAGCTCATTCCTGTGGATGAGCTGTGTCTAGTACCTTGCAGCACGCAGCTCTCCCTGTGTGTGAGCAGGGAACCTCATCCCCCAGTGCTGTGTACAGCAGCACCTGCCAGCTTGGCACAGCCTCTCTGGTGGCACCCATCTGTCTCTGAGCCTC